AAAATCCACTAAGGGTGGGGGGTAGGGTGACAGGGCCCCAAGGAATACAGAAAAATTCTGGAAGTCCTTCTAAGAAGTATATACATCAACAATAGTTTTAGTTCTATCATAAATAGGAAGAGCATTTTTAAATGATCATAACTTGGGTGTTTTGATCTGTGTCTTTGGGTCAGACTGTACCTGAGAAAAGGAAGAGGGGAAACCAGAATCTGCAAAATCTATGACTCTCCCTGTCTGCCTGAAGCTGAAGCTATGTTTGCCATCAATGCGGATGGAGTGGGAGACGCCAAAGACTGAATCATTGGGTTTTTCCCGTGATAAACCTGAGTGCTGCAGCCTCACGGAGAAGACTGCTCCCTGGGGTTCTTCGCAGGCCTCTTCCTGTTGTGACTGCCAGAAAAAGGGCATCCGGGAACACAGCTATTGTATCAGCTTTTCTGATGGAGTAAACAGGAGACAGTCAGTAGTCACAAACTGATCTGAAATGTCTGTTCCTTCTCTAGAGAGTGTGCTAATCTCTATGTGAATTCTTTGGTTGGGGGTGGGGGTGGGGGATACCTCTGACATAGTGCCTTGAGGTTGACGTGGGACTAACAGCTGGACAATCTGGTGTCTCTAAGAGAACTAAAGCTGGGAAGACCTAACTCTTCTCTCACTGTCTGAATAATGAAAAAATGTCTGAGCAACAGGGCAAAGGGGATGGGTCTCCTCACAGGTTCTTTTTCTCTGTTGTAAATCTGTCAATAAATCTGCCAATCAGGCAGGTTTTTAAGTTTGTGTGCCCGAATTATCTTAAGTAAGAATTTGTTTTTATTCAAGGAGTACTGAGCAGATCTGTTGGGTCACTAACCCTTCACCATCTACTTGCTTGGGTTTTGGGGCTTGTGTTTTTTTACTGCTAAGAGCAACTCAAGATAATTCTGGAATCTTAAGCATTTCAGAGGCTTCTGTAAGTAGATTCAGTGTGGGGTTGCTAGTAAGGTAGTTACTTGTAGTGACTGCTGTTTTTAGGAGTTATTCTGATACAAACTAAGTATTTCAAGATAGGGCCTTTACGTCTTTTTTTGCACTAGGTAGGGTGATCAGTTGCTATTGCTTTAAAATTTAAAAGGGAAGTTCTATATTCAGATAATTGAGCTTATTGTCTTCACCGTACTAGACTATTACAAGATGGATATGCCATGGCTGTCCTATGGCCTTTGTTTTTGTTCTGTTAGTCTCGTGTTGTGTAGGTCTGATGGTTCCCTAGTTATTCTACTTCAGGGATTCAAGATACTCTTCTTCCCCTTCAAACTTCCACTCAGGACTGCGTTTAATCAGACCTTTTCTTTTCAAAGGACCTCACAGCTGGTATTGGGAGGAAAGGCAGTGAAAATCTCTGCTGGTGCCTGTGTCGATCCTGCTATATGTAGGGAGATACAATCTAATGCAGCTTTGTTTTAAAAGCAGTTCTGTTCCCTGGCTTTTAAGAATGGAGGTCTTCTTTTACCAAAAAAACAAACCTGGGTGGTATAATAAAGCCACCGTGACAGATTGTGGAATGAGAGCTTGATCCTTGTATAAAAGCATCTCAGTCTTTTAGGACCTGTAAAGTAAGTAAATGCCTCTGACCTAGAAATTTGTCTCCGTTTTTCTTGTAGGTGGCATTAGGCTTTGTGCTACTGGCTCTGAGTAAACATGCATGGGTCAGGGAACACCTGCTCAGTAGGAATAGGCCTTGTTAAGCTAAGAATCAGCTCTCTCTCTGCGTTTCAGACGTAACTAGGATTCTCACGGAAACAGCACTAACCAGAGCATATTCTAAACTCTTCAGTGCTATTTTTCTACTTGTCTGCAACAGAGCTAATAGCAAACATAGGGGAACATAATCACTTCTAATCAAATTTAGTTTATTTTTAAGTTGGTACCAAAATATACTCCAGGCAACTCCTCAGATCATCGTTGCATAGTCTCATAAGCCTATGCACTGCTGTTCCAAAAGCAGCAAAGACTAGAAGTCAAGTGTCCAGCCCCTCAGCCCAAGAAGAGTTAGATCCACATGATGGGTGAGAAGAGGGCAATCCCATGGACGGCCCTGACCCTTCCCTGTGGAATGTGATTTATAATTTGGGATTGAATAATCAGTGGACAGATTAGAGAGTACAAGTTCTCTGTTTGGTTTCTATGACTCTTTGAAGTGCCTTCATCTTACCAGCAGTTAGAAGGCTGCCTTCAGTTCTCTGCCCACACTCAGCCCTAGGATAGGTCTTGATTTTTTCAAGAATTAACTTAAGGAAGAATACAACAGAAACCCAGGCCTCAGGTGCATCCTCAATTTCAGATTAATTAAGGAATTAACCAGTGGAATGGTAGGTAGCAGGTACTGGTTAGACCAGGATTCAGGATACTCCCTTAACCAGGCTTGCTCAGTTTCCTGATCTAAGCAAGGTTTAAGGGGGTGGGGCGGGGGGGGGTGGGGGGGGAGACTTGATTCTCATCCCCCTTAAGTAGTGGTATTTCTCAAGTCATGAAGGCCACTGAAATGTGGTTAGTGTCCTAAGATGACTTCCAATTCTTCCAGGTCCTTCTGGAAAGCTGAATCCTAGGGAGACAAGAGAACAATACTAGGACCCAAAACCTAAGCCAACATTTTCCAAACCACTGGTACCCAAGAAGAAGGGCCCTTGACTTCTTTTCTGAGCTCTGTTATCATAGCACCTACATGCAGAAGTGGAGGCTCTTTTCTAGGAAAATAAGATTTCAAGGGAAGATTTTTTCTTGAAAAGGCCCAGGGATGACTCAATGATGAAACCCAGGGTTAGAAAAGCTCTTAAAAGCATTACCTCACTAGTGACATCTGGCAGCTCCATGGCCAGCTTCACCCACTGTCTAGCTTCAGAGTTTTTTCCTAGTTCTCTGTAGCACTGAGAAGAGACAACAGTGAAAACCTGAGAGAAATACCACCAGGAGACTGGAAGGGGATGAGTAGGTGTGCTTTCAGGAGTTTCCAGAATATTATCAACATACATACTTTTCATCTGTGTTAAAATAAGATAGGTGAGTTTACCTTGGAAATATATACCCGTCCTGCTTTGGAAAATCCTGGCTGCAGTTCTTCAGCCTGGAGGAGGAGGGAAGGCATTTCAGTAAGTGTTCCCAAAGTCAGGTCAAGCTCTGAAGTATATTAGAGATTTCAGCCCCTCCCTGGAGTCTGGTTTAGTGGGTCTGGGAATGTATATTTTTTATAAGCTCTCCAGGTGGTTCTGATTTTCCCATAGAACAGGCAAACAGAATTGGCCCCTACCAGAAACCCAATAGAATGTCCTTAGGAAAAACAAGGTCACCCAGGCAGTTTTGGTTGCTGTCCACCCCCTCCCTTCCTTCCTCCCCTGATACCTTCAGGAAGCTCTGCAGGGCCTCTTCCACAGTAGCACTGGGAGGGCTTTCAAATAAAGCTGCAGCCGTTTTTTTTTCTAGCCAGCCCAGGTGAGCAACCTGCCACCAAGAGATCAAGGTGTGAATAAAGTTTTAACAAGAATTTTCAGAATATTGCATATTCTGTACTGAAAACAAACAGGGTCCAATTACAGTCACATGACCATTCAGAGGACATGGCACTTGAGCCAGGCTGAGGCCCAGCTTCCAATTTTTCACTGTAAGGAGATCAGTGTCACAGGACAGGGAGGTCCTTATATAAAGGCCTGGATTTAGCTCACCTGGTAGCACCACCTGCCGAGGAGAAAGTGAGCCATGGGGTTTTCTGGCTGGAGAGCAAGAGCTTTGTCCACGTGCTCCTGAGGGGGAAATGTAAATATAAACATCAGACACCAGCATTGATAAGGGAAGAGGGGCAAGTCACAGAGGCAGCAGGAACACTGCAAGGAGCCAGGATGAGCAGGGAACATGGACAGCACAAGGGAAAGAAGAGAAGCCTCTCCTCACCTTGAAGCTAAAGCCACTCTGGATGCGCTTCTGGATGCCCTCATGCTCAGCCAGCTGACCACAAAGCACTGCATACCTAAGGGGGAAGCAGCAGCAAGCTCAGAGGCAGGGAGGGGCTTCCCCGAGACCCTGCACCCTCCACTAGAGCGTAAACTCATTTCTGTCTGTATGTAGTTCCGCTTCATAGACCTGTGGTCCCAATACATATTCTTTCGTAAACACAATGGTAGGCTCTCCAAAGTATACATACTAGGTACAAAAAGGCTGGGTCTCTCATACTTAATATTTAGGCAAGGTCTTGGTCCAAATCTCCAACAAATTTCCCATCATGAGTACAGCCATAGGTATTATAAAAACTTAAAAAGCAGTTATCTACTCATCAGCATCAAAGATACTAGACCTGAGTACATTCCTTTTTATCTCCTGCAGACCCTAAGGCAGGGGTCCTCAAACTACGGCCCGCGGGCCACATGCAAACACAAATATTGTATTTGTTCCCGTTTTGTTTTTTTACTTCAAAATAAGATATGTGCAGTGTGCATAGGAATTTGTTCATAGTTTTTTTTTTTAAACTAGTCCAGCCCTCCAACGATCTGAGGGACAGTGAACTGGCCCCCTGTTTAAAAAGTTTGAGGACCCCTCCCCTAAGGTCTCATGTCTTGGAAGTACACAGGTTACCATCAGTAAACTGCTCTAGGACCATCAGACTGGGGTGAGGTGCTCTAGGAATTCCTGATGTTAACTTGGAAACCAACAGAAGCAGAGGAAGAAATGCCTCTGATTTCAGCCTTCACATTCTCCCAGGGAGCAAAGCCAGCCAGCTTTCCATCTTCTGTCTTCAAAAACAAAGGTCTCATTACCCCATTTCTCCAGCATTGTTTCCAGAGCACAGTTGACATTAAATGAGTGTCTAAAGGCCCAAGTTGCTTTTTCATATATTCACTAAATATCAGACATTTCCAGAGGCTTATTTCCATGTTTAGTCCGAACAGCTGTTCCCCAAGATAGTTAGGAAAACATGAAGCCAAGTTCCATTCTTGGGAGTCCAGGAGCCACAGGGAATCAGCACCCATGACCCCCTAGAAACAGTGATGACCTGGCCTCTGAGATAAAGCTGAAACTTTACCTCAGCTACAGGTAGAGAAACAGCTTCTCTCAGCTCACAGTCTGAGGACAGAGCTACAGAAAGCAAGAGGGGAGGTAGGAAAGGAACATTTTCATTAATACTCAGAGGTGCTGGAACCAGGCCCCAGGACACAAGTTGGTGGAACTTTGCCTCACATGAGACCAAACAGGGCTATATTTGAGATCTAAATACTGACTACTGAACTTCTGGAGGTAAACTCACATCCACTTTTCCTCATGCGAGCCAAGCAAAGAAGCGAAAGCCCACCACCAGCGAGGGATAGCAGCTAGGGGAAAGAGGAGGTTGTGCAGGAGATGGAGCTGCAAATTTTCCCAGCCTCCATGGGGAGCCCAGAACCCACAAGTCTTATAACCAGGGTTACTTACAAAGCTGCTCAATTCTCCAAGCCCTAAGGGGGTTGTGTGTGTGTGTTTGTGGGGATGGGGGGGGTGGGGGATACTCTCCCCTGCCTCATCCTGAAGGCACCTGCCAAAGAAAAATTCCCTGGGCCCCCAGCTGGGGGTAGGGTGGGGCAGATGGAAGTACAGGCCAGAGCTCCCTCTTCTGGTTCTTTTAGCAAATGCCTTTGTGGCCAGGACAGAGACAACAGAGCTCCGCCCCCTCCGCTCCCCTCTAACCCACGCTGGCTCCTCATGGGACCCTGCAGGGTGTTATTACCATTGGTGGCAGTCAGCACTCTCATCCCCCTTCTCCAGAGCGGCCTCCGC